ATTTTGAATTTTTTTTTAAATGTCTACTTTTTTTTTATATAGGGTGTTAAAAGAGTCCATGATTTTCATCCCAATTTTAAAATAGTGTAACTTTTACAGAAATTTTTTTAAATTTTATTTCTATGCGCCGTTTTAATCAATGATCTTCTGCAAAAAAAGTAATTTCTCAATTTTTTTATACCAGCCTTAGTTTTAAAAATATCGACTTCTTTCCATAACCTCCACTTTTTTCAATTTTTAAGCACCTAAACCATCCTGTACAATAAATCTTGCATCTTATGCTGCTGTTTGATATACCCCACGAAATCCTGGTTTATTTTCAATAAAAAAAAATACTTAAATAATGTGGTGTCCAGTAGCGTACTAATAATCGCCCATTTTCGGAATAATTAAAACCGATTTTTACATTCGAAGGTGCATAATTTTAAAATAATCATCTGAAGTTTCATTTGTTTAGTTCACTTTAATCATTGACATATTAATAAGAAACCAATTTCTCAAAATTTTGATATTTGCCTTTGGTTTTAAAATATCGTTTATTTAACATAACCATATTAATTTTTTCGATTTTTCCGTTCTAAACCATCCTGAATCGTTCTTACCGGTGAATTATTTAGCAATTGTTATACCTTTCAGCCAGCATATTTACTATGAATAAAAATATCGAATACTTCAATGATATGCTGTACATTGGCGTGCAAAGAGAAATTATTATTTTTCATTAAATCAATTTTATTAGCAATTGTTATAGCTTTCGATTAGCGTATTTTTATGATTAATAATTTCGAATACCTACCTCAATGATATGCTATACAGTGGCGTGCTAATAATTATTTATACCACTGATAAAATTTAAATATTCGGAACCGATTTCGTTGTGGTGAGAGGAAACCCGAATTTTTATTACCTGCTAATTTTCTTTGTAGCTCCATGTTTAAAGGTATTTCAATTAAACATTCTTCCACTAATGGTAGCAGTATCACAAAATAAAGTTAAGGATTGTAAATTACATTATCTGCCAAACAAAAAATTATATGAACAACGTTAATGCTTCTTGAATCTACACGTGTTATTTACTTGAACCTGATAAACTCCGATGGTGGAGTGTTAGTATGGAGGCAACCTGCGGAGCAATTTGAAGAAGACAACATGGCTTCTCAGAAAACCTTTGGAGGAGGAGGGTTTAATGTTTGGGCCGGAGTGATGTACAACGATAGATCCGACTTATACATTTCACGGGGTACTGTTAACGCCGTAATTTATCGGAATCACATAATAAATGACATTGTTATTCCATATGCAGAAAATATTGAGGAGCATTTCATCATGGTTGACGACAATGCGAGACCACACAAAGCAAGAATTGTTTAGGAGCTTTTGGGGGATCATAACATGCAACAGTTACACCTGCCTCCAAAATCTCCTGATCTTGTGTGGTTTCAGCTTAAGTTACTGGTACGATCGCGCGAAAATGCTCCCAAACGCTGGATGAGTTCGCACTTGCCATAGAAGAAGAGTGGCAAAATATCCCTCAGGCATTCATTAACCTCTTGGTTGACAACATGCCACGGCTGGCGATGCCAAGAGGTTGTGAATGTGAGGAGACGGCTTATTAACTATAACTTTGATTATCTGCCGTTCTTTATTAATTTTTTTAGTTTACGTTGTTTATTACTCAACTTTTAGGTCACTTTGTTGTTGTTATTGAATCTTATGGCGTTTCCGATTGGTAGATTTAGTGCGGAACTAGTGCAATTTTTTCTATTTCTATCTTTTTCTTATACAGGTCGATTAAAAGGATGCAAATACACTCAGTGCGCACTGAATTTACCAATCGGAAACGCCATTAGTTTGATTAGTTTTTTAGTTCACTTATTTTGATACGTTTTACCTAGGTATCTACCTAACTAAACTGAAAGTACTTCTTAACGCATTTAAAGTAGGGGAATTTCAGATGTTACCGGTTGACAACGGCGCGCGACGTTGTATGATTGAATAAACATTTTCAAATAAATAACACGTGTCGATTCATTTTGTTATTTCTAGCTGTCAGTGGTCTTGATAATTTATTATTACATTCTGGTAAATTATAAGGAAAAAAAAGGCATTGACAACATTGTCAGTCCTTGTTCTACGACGTTATCCTAAAAATAACGTAAAAAACCTATAGGAACACTTTTTGTGTTTTGTTTTAAATCAACTTAAAGAAGCATTAACATTGTTCATATAATTTTTTGTTTGGCAGATAATGTAATTTACCATCCTTAACTTTATTTTTTGATACTGCCACGATTAGTGGAAGAATTTTTAATTGAAATACCTTTAATCATGAAGCTACAAAGAAAATTAGCAGGTAATAAAAGTTCGGGTTTCCTCTCACCACAACGAAATCGGTTCAGAATATTTAAATTTTATCAGTGGTATTAATAATTATTAGCACGCCACTGTACAGCATATCATTGAGGTATTCGAAATTTTTAATCATAAAAATAAGCTAATCGAAAGATATAACAATTGCTAATAAAATTGATTTAATGAAAAATAATAATTTCTGTTTGCACGCCACTGTTCAGCATATCATTGAGGTATTCGATATTTTTAATCACAGTAAATACGCTGGCTGAAAGGTATGACAATTGCTGAAAAAATTCACCGCTAAGAACGATTCGGGATGGTTTAGAACGGAAAAGTTGAGAAAATTAATATGGTTATGTTAAATAAACGATATTTCAGAAACAGAGGCAAATATCAAAATTTTGAGAAACTGGTTTCTTAATAATATGTCAATGATTAAAGTGAACTAAACAAATGAAACTTCAAATGATTATTTTTAAAATTATGCACCTTTGAATGTAAAATTCGGTGAGCCATTAATAAATAATTCCGAAAATGGGCGATTATTAGTAGGCTACTGGACACCACATTGTTTTAGTATTTTTTTTTTCATTGAAAATAAACCAGGATATCGTGGGGTATATCAAACAGCAGCATAAGATGCAAGATTTATTGTATTGTACAGGATGGTTCAGGTGCTTAAAAGTTGAAAAAAGTGGAGGTTATAAAAAAAATCGGTATTTTTAAAACTACGGCAGGTATAAAAAATTTGAGAAATTACTTTTTTTGCAGAAGATCATTGATTAAAACGCCGCATAGAAAAAAAAATTAAAAAATTATTTGAGAAAGTTACACACTTTTAAAATTGGGATGAAAATCATGGACTCTTTTAACACCCTGTATAAAAAAAAATTAGACATTTAAAAAAAATTCTAAATAGCAGTTTTTTTCACAAAAAGTCAATCTGTCAGCCCGTGAAAACCGCAGGTCGATATCTATTCTGGTTCCAAAAATATCGATCTTGAAACTTAGGCGATATTTACCTTGTTCGAAAGCAATTGTCCAGCAGTTTAGATTAAGTCCATTTTTATGAAGAAAACATGCATTATTAGGTTACAATAAGGTGCAGATCATCGAGCTTTGTGCATATTCTCAATTAGGCCATTTTATATATCGCAAGGTCCTATCTGCGTTTCCGCCATTGCTGAACGTTTACTGGAATAATCTAATCGATCCGTGTACAACGTTATTCGGGTAGTACCTATATGTAAGAGGAACTCAGGTAGCTTGTAGAGGAATTAGGACAGAGAATCGTAAAAATAAAAAATTAAATTGCAGTTTGAATGAATTTATCTATTTTTCCAGTCAGCTTATGTCCACTAACGTCTTCTCTTCTTTCTACACGCAGGCATAGTAGGTATATCATATTATATTTATTTCAATGGGGAAGTTTTAACTTTTATAATACGTCTCGACACACCTGTGTGACACACTAACATTATTCGTCCACTAACCTCTTCTCTTCTACGTACAGGCATACCTAGAGTACCTATTATATTATATTTATTTCAATAGGGAAACTTCCACTTCTATCGTACGTTGGGATACATTACCTTTTTTTTTCAATTTATTGTAATCTTTACATCGAGTAAAAGGATCCATTTCTTGATGCACTCAAGAATTGTCTTTTGTCACTTGCGGTTTAACCGGTGCCTAATGGGTAGTACCTACTTTTCCTATTTTGAATGAGATATCCCGTATATTTTTGCTTATTTCGATAGAAAATGCCATTTTGAGTACAATAACACCCCATTTGTTATTTTTTGACACATAACCTCAACCTTCACTTAAAAAATTAAAGGCGATTATACAACTCTTCTTCCTTTGCTACTCGATACAAAATTAACTGTTTTAACCTATTCCTGGCAGTCTATCGATTGATTGAAAATTGAAAACTCAAATATGATTGCTTTTCTTTTATCAATTTAAGCACGTTCCGGTAGTGACAGAAAACAATTGAATAGGTAGGTACGTCAAAAAATGCATATTTATTTGCCAAAAGAAAGCGGCACATTAATCAAAACTGACAAAACGCCAAAAATTTATCGACCATCAATCTACAGTTTTGAGTTGTTAAAAGTGAGTAGGTAATTGAAAACCGAATTTTTTTCTAAATTCAATAATTCAATTTAATTTTCAATCTTAGTTGTTGATTACCCTGTTTCCACGTTCAGGACGCAATACATATTTTGCGAAACGTCACGTCAGTAGCTTAGAAAGAATTCTTTCCATTTGGTCATCTTAATAAAAAAATGTCAGTTCAATGTTTGACAAATTAAGAAGAAGCACTCAGCTAAATTGATTAACGCCTCTTCGCCAATAATGTCCTAATTATCTTAGGATTATTATTGGATGTATCGAAATGTAATATTTTGTTGTGCGCATAGCTCATTGGCAAGTTTCAGTTTCGGAGCGGTTTGAATCGAAAGTTTAGTTGCTTTCCACGCTCCACTGAAACCGGGAAACTTGTCCGAAAATAGAGAGAGATTTTTTTCGCGAAAGAATTTGTATAATCTCATATCTGTTTTGGTTTGTTGAGCTGGAATAACACTGTAAACACCTGATACCTATAAAAAGAACATTTGAGTTATTGCCGGATTCCTAATATGGATCTAATTTCAACTAAAATCTTCGTCGCGATAATTTTTGGCATTTGGCGTTTTTTCTTCGGCATCCTGCCAGTAAAACTGGACGCTTTTTTACGGAAATGGGAAGAGACTAGTTCAGACTCAAACACATTCATAAACGAAAAAAGACACCAACAAGTGAGTTGTTACGTAGCTTTAACTCAATCATTTGGAGGTGGAGTATTATTTGCTACTTGTTTTCTGCATATGACCAAGGAACTCTTTCTTTCCGTAGAAGAAATTAAAAGTATCTGGGGTGTGTACACTGAGTATCCAGTATCTCAGATGATTATTGCTACGGGGTTTTTATTTATTTATTTTCTGGAAGAATTCACTCATTGGGCCATTAATAATGGGAAGAAGAAGAAATGCGCTGGAAAGGTCAGTATAAGTAGATTTTTTATTTTTTGTTAATATGGTAAATGTAGGTACGCACAACTTGTAAATCTAAATTATGCTTGAAATCTCAACCAAATTTCTCCCAACCAAATTTCTTCCTTTCATACCCTTTAAGGTCGTTTTTTTTTTGTTTTTTCGAAACTTCTCTTCCGCTACGTGTTACAACAAAATACCTTTATAGTAAATTGAAGAGGACTACATGCTCTACAACTTACCCAGCGACAGCATTTGTCTATCACCTACCCTTTAGCCAGGGTGGGGCTCTAAAGTTGAATGACCTTGAGAAAACATGTTTTGGGAATTTTTTTTTTTTGACTGAACAGTAAAGCGAATTAACCACAAACTATGCATAAATAATTGTCTGATTTTTTGGTATAAGTTTTATTTAAAAACATTCACCCCTTCTAAATATACAGGGTGTTGAAATTTAAACAACCCCCTTCCATATCATCTGAAGGGCTAATGCTAGGCTGTTCAAATTTTCAGGGATTAGTGATGCAGGAATGACATTTAAAAATTCAAATAATGCACCCCCATTTTTCACCCCAAAAAAAAATTAAATTATCAAAATGCCTTTTTTTTTCTCGCACACATGCCCTCCATGTCAGTGGTTCAAATATTATTTTGTGCAACCTCCGACATACATGCATAGTCATTGGTTTTTGAACATCAGAAGCTTATAAAATCTAAAATAAAAAATAAGGTTCTGTATTTAAAAAAATGAAGTTGATGATGGTGGCCCAAAGACGAAATGTCAAATTTTAAAATGGATAATGTCATCTTATAGAGTAGGAAAAGTTGTAACGATGAAGTGACATTTATTTTGAAATATCTCCTCAAATAAGCTCAGGAAAAAATAAAATTGATTTTGCAAAGTTTCGGGTTTTTCCGGATATCTCGGAAAATGTTCGGAATTTTTAGAATGTCAAAGTACCATTTTATTGAGCGTTAAATTGCGCAACTTTTTCCTAATTTAGCCAACATTGTAACTCCAACCGTTCTCCAGGTCCTAATGTTATCTCATCCTTATCTTGGACACACTGTATTTTGATAGGAAATTTCCCGAGTTTGAAGTTTATTTACTACGTTGTGTCGAATTTTTGTTATTGATGGTGATTGTTATCGATCTTTCCCATTTAAATTGCGTTTGCCAAAAAATATACACTTTGACAGATTTCTGACATCAATGCGTTCCAAATGGAAGATCTACCTCAATGCCAAAAATGACATTTCTAGAAGTTTTTGGAAATTTCTCCGGGATATTTCCACTTGTTAATTTTGAAAATTTTTATGCAAAATTTCCAGTGTAATTCGCACAAGGGAAATTTCCTACCAAATAATTATACATCAGTTTTTTTCAGATATTCAGTGGCGTAGATATTAGGTAGGTATTTAAATAAAGGGATTTTTCTAAAAACCCCACTTATTGATTTTTTAGCTTACAATGGGCATGTAGGTACCTATAAAGACTGAATCATTCCGTTTAAGAATTGTCATACCTTTGGTCATACCATACATCTCAAAGGTGACAGCTGTGGATGACAGTAAAAAGTGACAAGAGGATAAAAACTCGCGCAAAAGCTAAAAATAGTTTTGAAGTCGGTGCGATGGTATTAGTTGTATGACCCCAGAAAAAGTGGACGTAAAAGAAGACTCTTTTTAAGATACATTTTTTTTTTCCTATTTGCACAATAAACGTTCTGGCTTATTTTGTGTTATAATTATGTCTCTAACCCAACAGTATAATCCCAAAATTAAAATAACACCTTATAGTATTCCTATACATTAGAATAGAAAGTGCCTTTTTCATAGAAAATTTTACGTAAATTTTTGCGTGACGGCATTCGCCCTAAAACGCTTGGTTTTAAAGTGTTATAAATGAATAAATGGAGTTTTTAGAAAAATCCTCTTAGTTAAATACTTTTTATCTACGCCACTGAACGTCTGAAAAAATATCTATTTGGTAGGAAATTTTCTTATCTATAATTTTTCTCTTTTGACATTTGCCTCAAAATGCTTAGTTTTGGAGTTATTGAGAAAAATGTAAAATAAAGTAGATTCCACCCAACTCAAGGGGTGGTTTTGGGGTGACGGGCTCAACGCCTCGGCGCTGGGGTTTCAGGGTATTTAGTAACCTAAAACACAGTCTCTAACCAAATTTCAGCTTGTCTCTAATTTGTTGAACATCATCCTGTATGGTCTCTGTACTATAAGAGGTTAAGTACAAGTTGTCTTGCGGTTCAGAACGTAATCTGTAAATACCTGTTGAAAAGACACGTGACTGTGACTATTGTCATAAATGTAGCTCATGTGTAATCTAAACTATATAAGCCATCATTGGACAGAGTTTTGTTAAAATTATTATTTTTGTATATAGGGTATGTGTTACGCTCAATATCTGAATTCGTTTTCGTGCCACAAAAGAGCCTGTTCTTTGTTACATTGAGACCCTTAAATCCAAGTTATAAAATAAAACGTTTACATTCTTCTGTTTGAGAATTTTTTAATTTTATTGAATTGTATCGATCAATTCTCATTTTTGTTTCACTCAACCGCTTTATATTTCAATTTTTATTTGACACTAGCTGTACCCTACGTGCGTTGCTACGCCTCCCCGAAGACAATTGTTTTAAACTAACCCAAGCTTCACGCTTCAGATCTATTTCATGGGAATTGTGCATTCTGCCGGGCTAAAAAGTAGCCTATAAACTCCCCTTCATATAGACACTACGTGGTATAAATTTCAAGGAGATTTTTATACATAATATATTAGATCAAGATTCTTGAGAACATATTAGGAAGTTTGATATATGTATATGGGAAAATTTCCTCCTGATAAATCTTGATTAAAATAACTCTTGAATTCATTCAATTTTGAAAGGAAACAAAAAAGTTTCTAGATTTCCATAATTTCTTAGTGGATGTTAATCGGGGATAACTAAAATTCTAAATTGTGCTCCGATTTTACCAAAATATCCTAGAAAATTTGACTCGGTGTACGTTTGTACCTCTGGATACGACGAAGAGTACAATTAGTCCAAGAGTCGGCAATACTAACGGGTATGTGATCGTTGCAATGGATAATTTCTAAATAAAACAAATAGTCCATAGTAACCTTTAAACCAAATGGATGGGTTGCCTTGATTCTCATGGCCGTAAAGTTGTTTTATAAAAAGATGTTTTCATTTATATTATAAATAGAACAAAACCATAAGCGCCTCAAATATGAAGTACCTTGCGGTGTAGGGGGTACTCATCATTTGCGATTGGTATAGGGTTGCCACCCCACCCGTGGCCGCAAACCTTTGGTGGCCGGGCGTAAACCACCCCTCTTTTTTCGAAAGAATAATGTTATCGATAGGTGAAAATTGGCGGATATATTCTTTAATACATATGCCCTTTCAAATAATATATAGGGTTGCCTCGATATTGATGGCCGGAAATGATGGCCACCGTCATTGAAAGGCGCGCGCGCATTATTTTCTGAATAAAATAAAAATTTGCTATGCAGCAAACATTTTATTGACACAATTTCATGTTTCTTTTTTTGTCTAAAGACCTACAGCTGTATGCAAAATCCTCTTCACAGAATCCTCTTTTAACTTTAAAAGTGACTTTGAAATTTGAAAGCTGTCACTTTCAAAAATTTGTATTCAGCAATTTCAAGTTTTGAAAAGCGGGGTAGTTTACGCCCGGCCACCAAAGGGTTGCGGCCACGGTTGGGGTGGCAACCCTATACCAATCGCATATGATGAGAACCCCCTACACCGCAAGGTACTTATTTTTGCGCTTATGGTTGTATTCTATTTATAAAATCAATGAAAGCATCTTTTTATAAAACAACTTTACGGCCATGAGATTCAAGGCATCCCATCCATTTGGTTTAAAGGTTACTATGAACTATTGTTTTATGTAGAAATTATCATTGCAACGATCACATACTCGTTAGTATTGCCGGGTCTCCTACTAAATAGGCTTCATTAATATTTTTTTATATGTGACATTTCCTTCAATTGACACTTTTTAAGACATGGTAATAATTTTTCTACTAATGTTTTCGAATGTTTGCTCAATTCTCTTTCTAACCAAATAATAATGAGATTATTCATTTTATAGGCAAGCCTAATAAATTATATTCTGGTAACATTACAATAATTTTTTGAGAAACAGAACATAAATTGCCGTGTTGATCAATAACTACTAACTAAGACATTAATCTGTTAAAGTCAAATAAATGTCATGTTCTGATTTGTTAATTTCACAAAATCAACCAAACATGGCAAGGCATTTGGATTCTGGAAGAGGATATCTTGGCTTTTTGTTGGATTGATTTTGATTTCCACTGAATCCATCATATTCAGAAATCAGATCCATTGCTTCCTCGAGTTTCACTCTGACTATCTCTGTGCCTTTTTCCTGCGGGAGGATGGCGTAATCATGTCGTATGTTTTTCGAGTGTGAGTGTGCTTGCCACCAGTTTCCAGTTTCTTGGTCTTAAAGGGAATTTCCAAATCCTCATGGCGAAGGTGTTACCTGTGAGCTAGTTCGACATCTAGCACTACGGTCGTCTTGAGTCCATTGAGTGACATGTTCGACTATTTGGAGCGCCTGTAGCTCCATCGAATGTCCAGGTCTCCAATTTCCCATATAATTTTGAAGCTGATGGGTTTTTCTGATACCTTGCCCAGAAGGCACAAAATCCTGGTGGGACGATAATTAGGTTAGGAACTTTTGGTCCTATGCTACTTGTGTGTGCATGCAGTGGTTTAATCTCAAGATTGAGTTGGTGATGTTGGTTAGAACTTAGAACCACAACGGTTTTCAATGCATTGAAAACCGTTCATCATCATCCTATTAGATACTTTATCTAATCCAGTCTGAATTTCTGAGGGGTGTCGTGTGTCGTAATTTCTGATACTTGGCTTCGTTATCTATTAGCGTAGCTTTCCGGTTATTCGCTCAACTTTTATATCATGTTTTTAGTCTTCATCTGGCTCTCTCTTGCCAATGTGACTGCAAGGGTTTCAGTGCCTTGGTGCATCCGCGCAGCGGTGCCACGATTATTTTCACGCTACTCATTTCCACATATTCCATGCAGAGTGGCTTTCTGTGATGATTTCTTCTGGTTTCTTATTTTTGTGTTCCTAACTTCTGACTTGCGTTCTGCTGATTTAGCATGAACCAGTTCCTCTCCAGTTTTTGAATCCTGTATTCTCTACGAAATTTTCTGCTTTCAGTGAGACAGTTACCTACTATGGCTTTTACTTTTCTGTGGACCTCGTCATCTGAGCCTTTCCGCGTTGAGCTGGAGACTGAGCTTTTTTGTTGAGGTTCGAAGGTGCTAGCCTGCAATGTCTTAACCGCATGTTCCTGTTATTCAACGTTCTGAATCACTGGGATGCCTATCCATTCATTAAGTCTACTTCCAAAGTTGTTGCTGTAAGTCATTAGCTTTTGAATGTTTTCTTCGCGTTTTCTTGTCTTGATGGTAAGTCGTACTGGATTGATTTCCGCAGTACCCTTTTCAAGTGTTTTTATTTGGTTGGTTTCTGCGAAATTCCAAGTAACAGCTGGCATCTAAAAAAAGAGCGCTTCGGTCTGACGTAAAGGGGAAGGAGAAAACTATAAGGAAATACACAGTTGCAATGGAAGAGTGTGATAAAAATATTAGTTCGCATATTTGCCGCTTTTCAATTCTCGCACTTTATATGTCAAATGCTGATGAGTTATGTGTGACCATGTCCAGAAGATGTCCGAGTCAGTTTCGTCCGATGACAATGGCTCTTCAAACTTCTCTGTCCCTTTCATCTCCGTGCTCAATCGTAACATTGGAGTTCCTGGCTGGAAACTTGCTTCAGTGATGATGGTTTTTTCTTGTACTAAATCCTAAATGTCCTCTTCCAATCTTTGATCTTTCGGAGGTTAGTAAGTTGAAATTACTTTCTCCTTTCCTATGGCTGATTTAAATGGTTACAGCCTGTATCACCACTTATCAGTCAACATGGCTTTCGACATTGCCATGATGCCTGGCATATGGTCTTCTAGTAGCTCATCAACCTCAAGTTGCCAAGCTAGAAGTCCCGTGACATTCCAACAGATTATGTTCAGTGGATGCGCTACGTTGGTGTCTTCGCGATCGCTGGCATTAGAGCCGTCATGATCTTTCTGAGCAGGTCTGCTGGTTGTGTATTTGCCCCATTCTGGCGGACAATCGATGCGTAATGCCAGGGACTCTAAGTTCCGTTGCGAACTTCTTGATATTTGAAGCAGCCCTCCCGTTGTGGTTGTCCCTCCTGTTATCCAAGCAAACCTGCTCGGAGGCCATTGGCTTTAGATACCTGGAACATCCGCGGTAACTTGAAATATGTCCAACCTCACTGCAATTCGCGCATTTAGCTTTTCGTCCTTCCCTGGTTGCTCTTGGCAACTCGCAGGTATTGAAACTGTGATATTTAACAAGTTTGCTGGGAAAGTGCATCTGGACTGGGTATGCCCGAATGCCTGACATCGAAAACTTTGCTGCAGCGATCCAGAGCGATTCCTAACGCACGATCTTAACAGCTCTTAAAATAATGATGGGTTTAGAATGATTTTTTTATACCTATTTATTCTTGAAAAAATGTATGGTATGAAAAATCCGAAATTTTTCTGCTCTCGCGATTTACTTATTTTTGGCTCGATTTTTAGCTTTGATTTTAAGCTATGGGGCACAATAGAACTGCAAACGGTCGAATTTTGAGCGATTTTTAGCAAAAAGGCCTTTTTTATATTAAGATTTTTAAAAAGTGTATAATGGAAATACTATGCGCTAGCTAGGCCATTTTTCTCATTAAATCACAATCAGTAACAGAAAATCTCGGAGAAAATTAGAGATAATTATTGGAGCCTCAAGTTGCAATCGGTGTTCATTTTTTTAAGAAATATCTCAAAAAAGTAGCACAACACAATTAAATAATTAAAATAATTTAGGAACTGAAATATGTAGATAAACCTACAATTGAATTAAGTAATCAAAATTTAAAAATAAGGTATATATCTCTCACCAAAAATTTTTAAAATTTATAAAAAAATGCATTCCTGTTAAACTTTAACGAATACCTAGTTATAAGATACAAAATATGTCTATTTGATCATATATTTTTCTTATAAAAAAAATAAATAATATAAAATCCTTAATTTATTGCAGGTCGCTGATGTCATCATTAAATCCATATCATCCAAATCATCAGCAAAAACTCTCAGATCTTCAATAAATATCTCACCACTGAAAACAATCGCTACCATTGAAGAATGGGACTTGAACGAAAAAAATAAAGAACTCATGGAGTTTGGCTATGAAGAAGAGACATTTAACACCCCAGAAAAAAATAAAAAACCTGATGAGTTCCTGAACTCGCCCCTGAAAACTAATTTATGCAGAACAAGCAGTGCAAGAAGCAGACACTCCATAAAAGAAGAAATCGACAGAGCCAATTTCGCCGTTATAGCAGAAGAACAACTCAGTCCAGAAGATGAGGATAGTTTGAAAAAACAAGAGCAATTAATGAGATGCGTTATGACCATAGCTGCATTATCTTTGCACTCTTTAATCGAAGGCTTATCAATAGGAATCCAAAAATTCAAATACGAAATTTGGTACCTGTTTATTGCAGTCAGCATTCACTCAGCTTCCATACTATTTTGCATGGGAGTTGAACTGATTTTAGCCCAAACAAGAATCAGATTCATTGTACTACAAATGGCAGCGCTAGCCTTAGCAAGCCCCATGGGAATTTTATTGGGGATTTTGCTAACAACATCCGATGCAGCCAGAACCCCAAAAGTATCAGTGGCTACAGTGATTTTTGAAGGGCTTTCAGCAGGGATTATTTTGTATATTACATTTTTTGAGGTGCTGAATAGAGAAAAGGAGCGGAGAGTTTATAGGGTGAGAAGGGGCTTGTGTATTGTAGGTGGTTTTATGTTAATGGCTTTGTTGCAATATTCGGAATCAAAGTTCGAAAAGCACGGAATGTTGAAGTACGTTGACGAATCGGGTAATCTTACAGCGACAATTTTCTAAAATATGAGAGAAAATAAAAGACTGAATGTCAGAAAAACTTTGTTCAAGTTGCTGGAAAAATGAAATGTATTATTTGTTTATTTTTAATGTTATTATAAACTTAAATAAGTCTATAAGTATTGAATTTGTGCAAATGTAAGCTTACCTTAGCACCGAGTAGCTCTCGAGGTTGGTCACTTTTGTACCTTTTTTTATTTTTGAAGATAACCAAATGATATTTCACCCCTTTGAGATTCCAACGTAAATATACGTTGTTTGACCTATTAAATTGTTTTCTGTACTTCCGTTTTCTGCCAAAATCTACGTTGATTAGGTACCTATTTATTTTGACATAACAGCATCAATCAGTCGGTAGCGTTAATAAGGTAGCTTGGTTTGGAAATTTGCAAAAAAAAACAATTGGTTATTGCTGTAGCAAATTTGTCAGTTTTCCAAATAATTTAGTATAGTTTTCATTTAGTTACTTCACATATTTCTGGCGTAACATTTTATTATGGAAAAACATTTTATAAAAACTTTACCTTATGGAAACAATATATCATTCCAAAACTGTTGAGCTCAGCAAAATCAGGCAGTGCTAGCAAACTAAATAATGTTATCTATAAATAAGTAAATACATAATTAAGCAACATCAATCAATAAAATCCTGTTAATTTAAAAATGTTCGAGATAAGCACCTTGTTGTTCTTGACAAATCTCAGCTCATTCATTTGTTACTCTTATTACATTTTGAAGCTGCATTGTGGCGTGATGCTATTAATTTTCCTTACACTCTGTTTCCAACTCGTTTCATGTTGCCGGCGGCGGTCAGTTATAGACCTCGTTTTTCATTGTTCCTCCATATATCAAAATCTAGAGTGGTTGAGTCGGGTTACCTAAATTTTCAAATAAATAAATAAATTTTGGTAAAGACCTTTAATAATGTCCAATTTTCCTCGTAGGTTAGTAATCGTTCTTGTGCGCTTGACACATTGCTTTGGGAATGTTCCTGCAACGGGATTGGGTGTGCCCGAATACTTGACATCTGTAGCATTTTTGGATGATGTCCCGATTTGATCTTATACTCTAAATCCTCACCTTCGGCCACATGAAGCAAGTCGTCTTGATTCCATTGTTTCCACAAGAAATAAAGGCAGCATCAACATGTCTCCGATTTCGTCCAAAACCTCTCCACAGGGCATGGCAGTGAGCTATCCAACAGATTACCGCATGACGCTGTTCCTTGTCTTGCAACTGGTATAAGTAAGGCTTCTCCTCTTTATCTATAGGGACTCTATTAGAGCCCTGTACTTTGCTGGGGTCTTGAGGAAAATCTTCTCATTTTTCCTCAATAATGTTGCGTGGTCGAACTGGATATTTTTGTCCTTAAGTTTTCTGGAGATCGTGGACCAGTCGGTGAACTGAATTATTACACCGGCAAAAATTCACAAGTTATATAAGTAAGTTGTATTCATATGCGAAAAATGTGCTGAAGACTTTACTACAACGTTCGATTTTGCTATTTAGGTTAATACGTACTTATACATTATTTAGAATTTTTTTCGATACCTAGTTTTTAAGCTGTATTTTAATTATAAGTGGTTTATTTTTAAAAATATGACTGAACTGAATACGTAAGGCCGTTAAAGTTTGCCAATCTTTCATTTACGATTCACAAAGTATGACTTAATTTCAAAGAATTTCAGAGTGTAGACTAACAATTTCCGATTCAGGCAATTAAAGTGAACTTACATATGGTAGGAATGAAAAATGTAATCATGATTTATTTAATAAAAGGATAATAATTGGTAAGGATTCACTTTAATACCTTAGTGACGTGGCAGAAAGTTTTAAAATGTTTTAAAATGATAAAAATTGTGTGATTCCGAACTTTATCAGGGAACATTTACAATTTATGAGGGTAAATGTAACATCTGGTCACCTTTCCTTGCAAACTATCGATCGAATAATGAACAGGCACTTTATAATAAGCAGACGATTTTCAATTTGCAATTTTTTTTTTTTTTTTAATCAATCCTATGAGACATAACACCAAGTAGAGGCTCGTTAAAAAAGTCGTTAAGTACCGTAAGGTGGGGTTAGTTGCAACATTTTCAAAATTCTTTTGCGGATACCTTCTTTATTTTTTTGTCCAATTTGACGTAATTGGTGCCAAAATTTTAGTCTTGTGGTCTAGTATCCGATTCTAACAAAAAACTTTGAACAACATTATTATTTGATATAGATTTTTTAAAAAAACTGGGTGTTGCAAGTTGAACACCTGCAAGGGGATACTTGCAACAAGTGGCTTTTTTCAGTAGAAATTGTATTTAGGAACGCGTGTTAACTTACTTGCAACACAAAATATTGAAAAAAAAAAATTTTGGCTAATTTGGCCAATTTTGGCCAAAAATTGGTCATGGTATGATGAGCTTCCTCCTCTTCCTTTGGAAATACAGGCTGCCTACCAGGATCAAGGGGAAACAAGTTTCTTCTTTTCCGAGAAAGCGTTGATGGGTCAATCCCGAATTCTCGCGATGCTTCCCGAATCCCTGATCCGTTTTCGATGCATTTTCCAAAGTTTCGTTGGAATAATTACGGTAGGTCCTACTCCCTAACTGTTTTTTGTATTTGCGAGGCATGTTGCAAGTTACCCACTTTTGTACATGCAATTTAAAAAAAAATCTATTTACGAAAACCTTCAAACTTAACTCAAAACTAGAAATTCAATGTTTTAGACTAAGCATTCAAGCACATCATATCCAAATTTGATACAAATCCTAGCGTAAATAAGCGCTGCACAGGAGAAGTTATATTGCAACAATTTAGAGCATTTACTAGAGCTGTCAGAAAATGGCGCCAAATTTTTCGTGTTTAAATTTTTTCAACGCTAAACCTACTCACATTTCAACCTACTGATCCTTACTAAACGGTAACACGTTAGCGGTTGACGCGCGATTCAAGCGAGAGGAGGGGGAAAGCAAAAATTCCACCCGATGAATATTTGTTGCAAGTTGTGCCACTGTTGCAAGTACCCCCACCTTACGGTACTGTGTTATTGATTCTGGTTTCGAGAAAATCGTTACTGGGTGGATCTCTATGTGAAGCTCATGTTTATAACAAGCTAGTTTTATGATCTATGTGGAAGGGCTTATTTTGGGTTCGTATATCTTGAAAGAAACTATAATTATTATACCTATTTAAATTTTCCGATAGGACACCTATAGTTCACATTCGGAGCTATTTTCTCTAAAGACACTGACCCCTTTTTAGTTATATACTCATAAAGTGAGTGAAATAGTACAGAATTGCTATAACTACTTTTATTGAAAAAAAAAAAATCTTCAATGACAATAATCATAATGACAAAAATGTCTATAATTACTGGTTACAATTGCTACAAAATGGAACAGGTGGGTAACATACATAACAGTTTCCCCCCTTTCTTATGAGAAATAATACTTTGATAATTAACAACTATATGGAATAAACGCAAATCCATCTACCGACTTCGCCGCATAGTTGTTATAAGAAAATATACTTAAAACTGATTTATTTGTCCCTATAATGACACACACCTTTACACCTAAATTCCAGAATGCTCACCTATTTGGGTCATTGAATCTATATGACGTTTCCAAATTTAATTATTGTCTAACTTAGGGTTGGTTTATTCACCTTATGGTAAACTGTCAGGTAATGCAATCTGACGGATAAAAACGCAATCTGTAATTCCATTGGTCGGCCAGTTATCTGCCAACCAATAAGATTATAGAACGGTGAATTTATCTTGCAGATAGTTACCAGCAAGTGATTCTGAAGATGAATAAACCGGGCCTTGATGAGATCGTGAAGTTTGAAAATTCTTGCATCTACATCTACCAAATTTCCACTTGTTATTGGAATTACTTCACGTAGGTAAAGCCACTCTCTCAAGCTTCACTAATTCTCGAAACCCAGTCTTATTCAAGTATTCCAAAAGTGTCAGTTGAGTTAGGTGTTAATAAATGTGATTTTGTTCGAAAATTCCTTCTCGAAAACAATAATTATGCATGACTAAAACCGGTGATGGAATGAGGAATTTCTCTATATTGTAATAAGAATATATTGTCTTGCTTGCTTCTGTCTCCCCATAACGTCACCTCCAATTGCTTGTAAAGAATTTCAAAATGTTTGTACACATCTTTCTTCTAAAGGCGGGCACAGACATGCGGTATTCGGCGAGTCTCGCATCACAAATATTTGCTATTCGGCAAGTAGCGATAAGTGTGTATGGGTTGCTCGGGCAAAAATTCGCCATAATTGCCCGAGCAACCCATACACACTACTCGCTACTTGCCGAATAGCAAATATTTGTGATTTGAGACTCCCCGATTACCGCATGTCTGTGCCCGCCTTAACCCTTACAATGATATATCTTGCCATTTTTTTTTTACCTACTTAAGTATCCTTTTAATTTATTCATATTTACTTTCTACCTCCTGCTTTTTTTGTTGTTTCCTCCTTGTCATGCCTAATATTTCTTATTTATTGATCTCATCCTCTATAGGTTGGTACCTACTCTACAAAAATCCAAAAAACTTAAAAGCTATATTCATAAACACGATGCATTTAAAAGACAGTACACCGACGTGCGAGAGTTCTATCTGGTGAGGCGGCACTCTCAATCTAAAGGTGCCAGGTTGGTGATGTGTCTTCCTGCAGAAATAATTCTTACGAATTATTTCAATTCTGATTGGCTTGACATAAATGCCTATGGTACCTACTAAGCGTAAGTTACCTAGGTACCTGATAAATGAATCAATAAAATTAGTGTTATTTTCAAATCTTTTCAGAGCCAATCACAATTTATACGGATACATTTAAAACACCTGCTACATTTTCCTAGATAGATTCTAATGATCAAATCAATATGCACTTCTTACAAATTGCATTGTGTGGTTGTTTTGTGACTGAACTCAATTTATTTTTTATTTTATTGACTTCACAAGTGTTTTTTTTTCAATCAAAAATGCCACAAACCTGTCTTTATTGTACCTAGTTGATTGTGGGAGTCGTTTCAACAACAACGATGATGTCATCCTTTACTCACATCCAGATTTTCCTGCATTAATGTCTTCAAATATTCACTCTGCATCCCGGAAAGTATAACATACCAAAGTAAACTGTTAATTATTTAACTAAAACGTTTGGTAAGGATCTAGTCTTGTCAGCCAGATCCTTACAGACTACAGAGGACCTCAAATAAGCGGCAAGCTTAGGATATTTTTACTACACTATTAATTTCTGGATGAATTGTGGCATCATAATAATGATCGTTATTGAAATTCTAACTTCTTTTATATTTTTACGACAGAGTTTGTGTCCTCATTGGTATGTGTGACAAAAAAAAATATATGACGGTAAGAGTGTGCTGAGATGGTAGGTTGTTGAATAAAAGGAATGTTGAAGATTTTTTGAACCTACCGATAATCCAAATGAGTTGCTAATCAATCAAAAAGTTTCAAGTACCTAGTATTAATCTTTAACAGCAGCCTATTGGCAAATTCCCATCAAGAAGCAAGAAGCAACATACTGAATATCTTGGGTACATTTTTGCAGGAAGTCCTATACGTTTAGGAGATTCCTCTTTGGGTTGAGTACCTACGTCCAGGGCAAGGTTGATTAGGTGTCACATTCAGACAGGAAGGAATGTAGTGAGTTTACATATGTTTATGTAAATGTCCTGCTGGTGCAAAGGTACTCGAGTGGTGGAGCTTCGCATCTAAACCATCTTGGGAGACTTGGAGAAGGAAATTACAATTTGCAGGGTTCACGGTGAAAATAAAAAAAATGCTAGTTTTCTCAAAAGAAATTAACATTTTTGGGAACACTACATCTTGGCAGAATGTGGTTAACTCATGTTTATCAACCCGGCACCTGCCCTATCATAAGCTTTATTCCAACACAGCAGGAAACCGTACAATGTACCGTCACAATTCTGCGCAATACCCAAAATTTGTGCGTAGAATCAGTAATTCGTATACAGAGTGATTTCGAAACCATTCGTGGGACGGTTTTTGGCTTTGTTGGAACAGACCTATAAATGCCAGGTTATGTCCGTGTAATAATTATATTGTTCCATTATTATTAGTTTTTATTCCATAGTATCACATAGCAATTCTTTGGCTATGGTTAAATTGTCTCAAGAAACTCCGGGTGCCCACTGTGCACCTAGGGTGTTTTCATTTTCAGGTGCCCGCTAGATGAAAATTATAGGGACTTTTCGTACTATATGTGCTGTACTCAACACTATACTCAACGACGTAGCTATAGCTTTTTCATGGGGGGGGGGGGGGGGGTTTAGAGCAGTGGTGGCTCGTGGTCTGGGAAGGGTTTCAATTTTAGATCAGACGATGTACCTGGCATATAGGGACGCCACCTTTGAAAATAAATTGAACTGGGGAAAAAAAAGTTCATTGAAAGAAAAATGAGAAACAAAAATCCTTCAAATCTGATAACAGATGCATTACATTTTACATATCTATACACAAGTCCCTCCGGCATCTCCGGATGTTGCTTGATGTTGGGTTAGTATGGATTAGTTGAGTTAGTTGATATGGTAGGAAAGGGAGATCCAAGGATACTACACACTACACAGGATAGCCTATCCTCAGAAGGCCTGTGTAGATCAAATCTCAAGCCCCCACTGCACCACGCCAAACCTTGCGTTCGGTATTTTGCTCGAAGAGCAGAGCATGCAGAGCGGAGCCGTAATCACGTGACCAGCGAGCGAACAGAGCAGTTGAACGCTGTATAAAAGTGCCAGAAATTTTAATAAACGAACGCGAATGAGGATACACCGAGTACACTTTTTGAATAAACGAACGGTAAAGTCAAGCTCGGAGAACTCAGACCAAAATAACGAACGCACGGCAAGTAACAGTTATGACGTAGGAATCGGGTCGATTCTCGTTTCGACGTAGGGTGTTTACACCACAGACTATCATTCCCCTGGCTTTTGCTTTATGAATACTTACTACGACCGCTGGCGCAAACAGTTAACGACACCGTTGATGATGTCACCAACGGTGCAACACCATATGACCTTGATTCCAAAAATCAAGGCCGATGAGCAATCCTGTAGTAGTGTATATTATCCTTGAGGGAGACCGTAGGTAACGACGACGCGTGCGTTTCGGAGAATTTTTCCGGGAGAAACAGGATTGCACTGTTGCTAACCCGGAGAAAACACCTAGTAATCCGTAGCCCGGAGACCATATGCGAAAACCCGTAGACTCCGGGTGAAACCCGTAGAGGTGACAACCCTACAGTGGCATAGTCGCCGGAGGATATCGCCGAGGGCGAAAAAATTTTTCGGATTCCACGCCCAAAAACGTTTATTTTTCTTCAAAAAAATAATTTATTCAGTTCAATGGGGGGGTTTGAACCCCCAAAACCCCCCCCCCTTATATACGTATATACTGATCTCTGCATTAGTAGCAGGTTATGCTTTCCGGGCACTTTTTTTTATTGGATCACGGGTAGCAGTGGATACGAGTCCTGTGGCTCCTATTATTATTGGATTTTTTTTTGTTTTGAGGTGCCACATCCTTTGAGCCTCTATTTGTAGGTCTTTATATTTTTAACGTTCCTCAGCTTCTTTCTGTGTGATGTAGGTGATCTGATGGCACGGCCTCGCTACGTCTATTTAAGAGGCATGTTTTTCTACCTTTGTCCTTGAATACCTATAATGTCTGGTTTATTTGCTTTAATGTGTCTATCTATTTGCACTTGTGTGTCCCAGATGATTGTTACTTTCGGGGTGTCGATTACTGCGTCCGGGATATGCTGAAACCATTTGTCATTCACTTTAATGTTATACTCCCTGCAGATGTTCCAATGGAGCTGTGCCGCCACTATATTATGACGATCAAGGTAAACTTTTTTTGCCAGTACTAGGTCTAGGCATCCTGCAACAACATGATGAATGGTCTCATCATATTATTATTATTATTATTATTATTATTATTATTACTATTCTTTTTTTTTTCCTTTTCTTTTCTTTCTCTTGATTTACCATTAGCCGTATTCGGCACTGTCATTTTTTTCGTCGATTTGCTACGAAATTTTGACAGGCACGTGACTGGACAGTTAATTTCAATTTACAAATCACGTGCTTAGCAAAATTTTGAAGCAAATCGGCAAAAAAGATGGCAATGCCCAATACGGCTATCATGTTCACGTTAGTTATGTGTAACGTCCTCTTTTAGACCCTTTGTTTGTGAAATATATTTCGCTCGAGTATCTGACTACTACGGACAGGGGTGCCGAGGATCAGCAGCAAGAATAATAGACACTACTAAGGATTGCTTATCGGCCTCGTTTTTCGTAATCGCCGCCATATTGATGTGTCGCCATTTCTGACGTCATAGCTAAGTCGTCTGCTGCTTAAACAGCTTACGTCAAGGCGAGAAATAACATGCTGTACGTCACAATTGGTGATTTGGCGGGATGGGGCGGGGGGAGGGGGGATTTGTTCTCACAGGATAGGCTATCCTGTAGTAGTAGTGTGTATCGTCCCTGGGAGCATATCCCGATTGTGGCTAAGGGCGGGTATTATAAAACTGCTTTGACAGTTAACTTTTTGAATTACATGTAATTCCAGAAGTTAACTCTCAAGTAGTTTTATAATACCCGCCCTAAATCAATGAAGTAGTAAGATGGTTGGAATCGCCCTTTGCCTATCAACTCAATACATATATTTGCGGCCAACAATGGAGTGAGAGAATAGGAGAGATCCATGAGATTTTCTTGCCCTTACTAGCGTTATCTCACTCAGGGTTAGAGTGAGAGATATGGGAGATCTAGTATATTTCTTGCCCTACTGGCGCTATCTCATTCTGGAATCGATCGAATGACGCAAAGCTCATTCCATACCTTGTTTCTAGTTCATTGGGCTAAATTCAGCTGGTGTGGGTACCCTGGGTGGAATGGTAGAAACTAGCAGTGTGATTGAATTAAACAGTGTTTGGGAAGCTGTAGTTTGGGATTGGCATTTAGTGAATCGCAATCATCGCATCCGTGACGGTGCAAAATTTTGGTGAGAGAAATTTTAAACTTGGTAGCGCAAGTGCAATATTTTTTGTTGACCTTCACTTTGGCCATTCCAGTGTAGATTGTGGATCCCATTGAAAAATTGGTGTGGCACTTTTTTGCTCCGAGTGCAATCAGTTCCTCACCTGCCTGCTCGGTTCGTAAATTTGTTGTTTTGTAATTTTTGATCATAGTCAGTAATAAACTCTTTAGCACCAGGACATGTTTTGGATTGACCCGAATGAGTTATGCTGCCACAATGGTGCGACACTTATTTGATCAATGAACTGCGCCGATAAATATCCGAACCTACTGGCACATTTATGAACGCGCCCTTAAAGACAAGCGCAAAAGAAGAGAGAGAAATGAGGTTAGATCTATCCATATCCATTTTTTTTTTTACTTTTTGCTTTGCCACTTTTGCCGGGGAAACGTTTGAAAGGTGGACGGTGAACATTTAAATTTATCTTTGTTTCCTTCGAGTTTATCATAATTTAAAATGGATTTTGTATTTGAACACCCAGTATTATCGCTAGGTATATCTGCGGTAATATTACTTCTATTGGGTTATGCAGCTATGAACATTTGGTTTATAATCCAGTAAGTGTATGCTTTTTAATTTTCCGTTAACATTTATGTGTTAATTTATTCTTTAATTTTAGGAATGGATTTTTTATATCTGTGAACTGTTGGTTTTGCAACCAGAACTCAAAAATGTTATACTCGGAAAGAAACTGCTTTGTGTGCCCATTATGTTGTCAGTATAATGGCTTCACTAAGGTAAAAATCTATTATTATAACTAACTAGCTGACCCGGCGAACTTCGTACCGCCTCTGAATTATTAAATATACCTATTGAATGTTGTGTTAACGTATCTATTACCTGAATTAAATTCAGTTTTTTTCGATGGTGAATTTGGCTTTGGTTGAAGAAAATTAATGTTTACTCTCTGGATCAGAAGTCACCTAAAATTAAAATTTTACATCATCCTTTTTTAGGCAGCTTGTGGGCATTATTCTTGTAAAGTGTACCACCAAATAAATAAACTCAGGCACAGGAATGTTCAAAGAATGTAAAGAAAACAAAGAAATCTCTAGCGCAGCCCTGTTTCACTCTATCTGCACTGCATGCTAGTGGTGGAGAACTATCGATTGTACTATCGAGCACTATCGATAGTATCGACTATCGAAACGCTATCGATTGTTTCTACCGATTATCGATAGTTTTTGATAGTAGCTTATAGCGAATTTTATTAGTAAATCCAGTGGCTCTCAATGCGTAGTGAGTGTATTTGTTTGTGTCTGTTTCAGCCAGCATGTGAAAGAAAAGGACAGAAACAGAAAACAAATTTATGCACTGGTACTGCTAATAGAAAACGCTTTTATTCGAGTAGTGCAAGTGCGTCACAAAGGTAGTGCGCACTGCGCCGTTTTGTTTATCTTGATCAAAATTGTAAGGAAATGATTTCAGAAATTGAAATTTTTTAGGGTCGGTTTTTCAATAGCGAGTCACATCCGAGTTGGTTTTAACTCCTAGGTAAACGTGTCCAGTTGCCATTTTCACTTGCTTGGGTGACTTGCTATTGAGAAACCAACCCTTAGTGTTTTTGTTTTTCATTTTCACATCAGTAGTTATAAATAATGAATAAGAATATCATATTTTTTAGTTTTTTGAGTCCACCCACATTTTTTAATAGGTATATAATTGAAATAATCTAATTTTGTAAAACTATCGAATACTATCGATAATTATCGATGGTGTGAGCCTTGACTATCGATTACTATCGATGGTGCCAACTATCGATAGTTCTCCACCTCTACTGCATGCACGGCACTACTCCATCTGTTCTACTCTATCTGCACTACTCTATCTGCACTACTCTATCTGATCTACTCTTTCTGCACCACTCTATCTGATCGGAATAGTGGAATAGTTCTGTTCGAAATAGCTCCAGTTCCTGAGTAGCATTGTGCTACTGTATCTGCAATGCCGAGCTTCGTTCCAGGTATCAGGGATGGCGCGGTATACAAAATACAAAATAAACTTGGTATCGGTTATAAGAGATGGCGCCGTATGCGGGCTTAGTAAATTTTTTCCATAAATAAATAAAATAAGTAATGAAATGACCACATTAATGACATAACAACATGCTGGTACTGTCAACGCTGACAGCAAAATGATCCTCCATTTGATTGAATAATTAATTTATTACAAAAAATGTGATAAATGAAGAACCGCTCGACCGATTTTGTGCAAACTTCACATAAACCATCTAATAAATAGTCCGAACAAAGCCTAAACATTTGGTTTGGCTAGTTGAGCCCGTTCTTGAGTTATAAAATTATAACGAAAAGTGGCATTCATTTTTATATATATAGATATGCACACCGATATATACACTCACATAATGCCTGGTTTATTCCTATGAACTTGTTGAGGTTATGTCGAAAGTAAACATAACAAATAGTAACCCTCCAGAATTATCACAAAAAACTTGTGCCCATTGTAAAAAAAATGTTGCTTCTCCTTGGGACTGCATAAAGTGTGGATCAAGCTACCATCCTAGCTGTGCTGCCCAAGCAAAAGTGCTAAATCCAGAAAAGAAGGTGTTTTGCTGTGGGAAATCGAAAAAAAGTGTGGTTAATGAAAAAGAAAATTCATCTAAAGGCGACAACATGGATGAAAAAAAGATAAAAACCGTTTTAAAAGACTTACTAAATGAGTATCTTACACCTTTTAAAAAATCTGTGCAAAGTGACTTCGAAGAAATTAAAAAGTCCCTTCAATTTGTATCGGATGGATTTGACGAGCAGAAGGACACCATAAATAAACTATTGGATGAAGTTAAGAGCCTTAGGAACCAAAATCAAAAACTAGAGAAAATGGTGCAGGAAATGGAAGATAGATTAAATTTTTCTGAACAACAGGAAAAGGAAAAAAAATTAATCATATATGGAATACCTAAACAGATGGATGAACCCGGAAAAATTGTAAAAAAAGTGCTTAGTGCAATGCAAACAGAAGTTAATGAAGATGAGATATTGGAAACATACTATGTGTCAAAAAAGGAAAATGCACCTATTGTTATCGAGTTCAAGAACAAAATATCAAAACAAAAAATACAAATTAGGATCAAGCAGCTTAGAGGAATTAAGGTAAATGAATGTGGATTAGTGGGAGAGAACAAAAATATATACTTTAATGATGATCTCACCAAAAAGAATCAATACCTGTTTAAAAAAGCTAGAGAATATAAACAAAACCATCAATATAAGTCCGTCTATGTACTACATGGAAGGATTTATTTAAAAAAAGATGAAAACACGGAACCTATCAGAGTAAGAAACGAGAGCGATCTCGTGCAAATAGTATAAGATGAAGCATAGACCAACTTAACTTCTTTAGTAAAACTTGCTTCATTTGATTGAGCAAACCACACAAATTAAAAATGGATTATAAATCAACTATAAATATATTATACATCAACATAAGAAGCCTAAGAAACAAAATAGAGGACCTAAATGACATAATACAAGGCCCTCAAGAAACTATACATATCATTGTTCTCAGTGAAACATGGATCTATCCTAATGAAGTAGACTACGCAAACCTGTCCTCGTACACTGCTATCCACAACTGCAGAACAACGCGGGGGGGTGGCACAGCGATTTATATAAGAGATGGCATAGATTATGTAAATACCACAACAGAAAAAAACATGGAAGAATATAACATCGCCTCTATATACCTACCAAACCAAAAGCTAAACCTGTATGGAATCTACAGACCACCACAAAATCAAATACAAACATTCATTCCAACACTGGATGAAATTTTAGAATCCCAAAAGAAAGCCTGTATTATAATTGGGGATATAAATCTGGACCTGTTGAAGACATCTCAGGCAAAAAGTGACTACTTAAATATAATAGAAATGAACGGTTTTCAGATAAAAAACAAAATAACAAAAGAGAACGCAACAAGAGTGACAGAAAAAACAGCATCTATACTGGATCATATCTTAACAAACAAAAACTTGGAATGCAGGATGGATATTGAGGACCATTCTCTATCAGACCACAAAGTTATTTTTGTGAAGGTAAAAAGAGAAATACAAAAAAGGGAAAAAGTGATTATTTTGAGAAAATATGTGAATACTGAAGCATGGTTGTATAAACTACAAGAAAAAATAGAAAACACAAAAATCAAATCATTTAGAGAATTAGCTGAGATCATGAATGACACAAAAAAGCAGTGTACCACAGAACGTAAAATAAAAATACAGGAAAACAACTATTGGATCACAGCAGAGTATATGAAAAGAGTCAAAGAACGAGACAGACTGTACATTAAATGGAAAAGAGTTGGAAATAAATATGTGGAATCAGAATATAAACAATTACGAAACGAAGTTAATAATATGAGGAAGAACTTGCAGAGGGCATATGCAGAAAGAAAGTTTACAGAAGCGGAAGGAAACAGCAGGAAAACTTGGGACATATTGAATGAAATCTATAAAAGGAAAAACCATAACAAACAGAAAGTAAACAACATAATTAGCCAAAATGGACAAACTCTAACAAATGGAAAAGAAAAAGCAAATGAATTTAACAACTACTTCACAAATGTGGGTGAAAAGTTAGCATCTTTAATAGATACAAACCAAAAAACAATTTTTGAGGAAGAAGAGGTAAATGAAACCATTTTTCTCAGCCCAACTGATGACACAGAACTCAAAGAATTAATATTGAACTTAAAAAACCACAGTGCCCCAGGACACGACAATATTACCAAAAAGGATATAACTAGCTGTTACAACATCATTGCTGATATTCTGACTAAACTAATAAACGAAGTCCTAGAAACTGGAATTTACCCACCAGAATTAAAAGTAGGAAAAGTAGTACCAATATACAAGAATGGAAAGCAAACAGAAGTGGGTAACTATAGGCCAATAACATTACTGAGCACCTTTTCGAAAGACTAATAAAATTTATTGAAAAAACCTTTAAATTTGACACAAGCCAATACGGCTTCCAAAAAGGGAGTAACACCCTGGGCACAACTGTCGACCTCTTGGAGCATATCACTGACAATCTGAACCAAAACAAATATGTGGCCATAATATTTGTCGACTTAAAAAAGGCGTTTGATACAGTGGATATAAAGCTAATGCTAAATAAACTATACAAAATGGGCTTTAGACGTGTGTGTCATGAACTGCTCAAAACATATTCAGTAAACAGAAAAAACTTTACAGAGGTCGACCATCAACGCAGTGATGAGCAATATGCAAAGGTCGGGGTTGCTCAGGGATCTGTACTGGGTCCTCTACAATATCTATTATACGTGCATAGTCTAAAATATGCTGGTATAAAATCAAAATACTACATGTTTGCAGACGATACCGTATTGGTTAGTGCTGCGAAAACTAAAGAAACGTTGGAAAAAAATATAAACTGTGATCTCAGGAAATACCATGAATGGCTGTGTCAAAATAAACTTAGTGTAAATACCGAGAAAACTGTGTATATGGTTATTAAATAAAATGGTAAACCAACATGTGAAATGAATATTAAATTAAACATTGCAGTCCTCAAGGAGGTACAGCAATATAAATATTTGGGGCTAATTATTACAAACAACTTGACTTGGAACATACACATAGAGCATGTTATTAAAAAAATTGCACCAATTGTGGGTACAACAAGAAGGTGTGCTCACCAGTTGAATGATAAAGCCAAGTATCTCCTCTACAATAGTATGATTGAGCCTCATA